AAAATATTATATATATATTTTATTAATTTTAAAATAAATATTTTATTTAAAAATTGTTGATTTTTTTGAAAAATCATTTAAAAATCTATTTTCATTAAAATAAGGATCATATTTTTTTAAATAGGCATTTAAATTTAAAGGAATTAAATGTGCTTCAGTATTAAAAGTGAATAATAATTCTTCTGAATTTGTTTGATTATTATAATGTACAAAATTATTAAAATCAAAAATTAAATATAAATATTTTAAAGTTTCAGATAAAAAGAAAGATTCCATTCTATCATTTAATTTTAAAGTTTCAACATTATCAATAACAGCATATCCACATTTAGTTTTTGTATTAATTTCCAAACTAGTATAAAAATCTCTTGCCATATATAGATAATTAGAATCACGTGAACCATCAAATTTAAATAAATGATAAATACTTTCAATTAATTCAGGTCTTAATGGATATGGTAATTGACCTTTTTGTGCTTTTGAAATTAAAATATTAAAACCTTCAGGTATACTTCCATATTTTCTCCAAATACCATGTATAGCAATAATTGACTTTTTAGCAATTTCATAATTACCATATAAAGCTTGTACACCTGGCCAAAATGAAGCTAATGAATTATATAATCCAAATGTTATTTTTGGAAATTTCATATCAACATCTGAATACCATGGATTTTTATAAACATATTTTAAAATTGATTGATAATGAATTTTAAATAAATTTAATAATTCTTCATCTTTAAATAAAATAAATCCCTTATATAGATATTCAAAATATGAATCAATTGATGCTCCTATACCTGATTCACGATGTATCCATTCTCCATTCATTATATTTATATGATTACCAATTAAATTAGTTTTTAAATCTCTATATTTAAAAATACTTAATGTTGCTTTTTTAGCAATTTCATAATATTTTAAATCACCTGTTAAATAACTTAATAATCCAAATTCTAAAATAAATGTACCACCACCTGCTGTTGATGTTATATTAGATTCATTCTTTAATACTCCATCTATAAAATGTATCATACCATATGGTATACCTGTTGGTGTATTAAATGCAGGTAATAATCTATTAGCTATATCAATACATAATGTTAACAAGTTGTGTTGTTGTTGTTGTTTTGAATTTGAATTGATATTTGAATTTGTATTTGAATTTATATTTGAATTTGTACTAGAATTGGATTGATTAGATTGATTAGATTGATTTGAATTATTGGTATTAGATTGATTAGAATTAGATTGATTTAAATTATTATTATTATTATTATTATGATTAAATTGATAAAATAAATGATTTGTATTTAAATAATATTGATTTAAATACCAATCATGTTTTAATGCTAATAAATGAGCAGATAATAAACCTCCTAATATTCTAATATTACTTTCAAATACAGAAACATGAGTTGGAAAATTAAAATTATTAAAATTTTTTAAAATTAATTCAATTGAATATTTAAATTCATCATGCATATTCATTACATATAATGTATCTAATGAATCTATTAATGTTAATGAATAATTACCCCATGTACTCATTCCTGAACATGATATTGGTTTTAATTCATCTAATGGATATCCATATTTCATATAATTACTATATGAAGTAATAAACATGTTTTTTATGGAATTTTTAATTTCTTCAATTTCTTTAATTTTCATACATTTTATAAATATATTATTAAATTGATTATTAAATTGATTATTATTAGAATTATATATATTATGAGTACTATGAGTATTAAATTGATTTGTTATATAATGATCATATTGTATTAAATAATGTGATAATAGTAAAAATACAAATGTAAATGTAAATAATTGAAAGAATTTAAATTTCATAATTCTTAAATTCCGATGTTGTATTATATTGTTATTCTCCTATTATTTCCTAAATTTATTTGTTGAAGTATTTTGTATATAATGTGATATTATTCCTAGCCTAGGATGTGTGTGTGATTATTGTTTGATGTATTTTTTTTAAAGTTGTTTTTTTAATAGGCTAATATTTGATGATGGTGATTTACTACTAAATACTTCTTTTATATCACAAACATTTGGATACTTTAAATCTTAATAATGTTAAATAATAAGAATGATATCATGAATTGGATGATAATAAAACAATTTTCCCTCCTAAAATGACAGTTATAAAATCAATTTAAAAATCTTCCATTAGAGAATGGAAAAAAATGCATCAACATAGTCATCAACCGAATAATAATAATACAAATGATGATGATGATGGCAATCATAAAGAAGAATATAATAATAACCATTCCGATACTATTGACACTTCTAAAAGTGACACTTTTAATTCATCAATATTAACAAGTAATATTAATTTATTTACAAAAACACCTTTTAATCAATTATCATCTAATAATATTAATAATAATAATATTAATACTATTAA